CGCTGCTTAGCTTCTCTTGGTCATTCTGCCCCCTTTCCTCCCTGACTACAAGTTGTCCCAATCCTGACAGGCCCTGGCCTGACTGGGCCTGCTCCTCTGTACATTCCTCCAAAACCAACAAAGCCGCCCCCTCGATCTCTGTCGGTTCCATTCGCAGCTCATCTTCCTCTGCACATTCGGGCTCTGATGGGGACATGACAGGAAGACTACTGTGTTTCCCCCCCAAAAAATAAGACCCTGTCTTATATATTTTTTTGCCACCAAAAAAGACACCAGGTCTTATTTTCGGAGAGATGTCATCCACTGACTAGCCTCACTTGCGTGTGTCACCCCCGGCCTCCTTTTCGCTGTCAGAGGCCTTCAGGAACTTCTTCTTTGGCAGCCAGCAAGGCTTTCCTGAAGGCCACTGCAGCCAATAACAAGAGCTCAGGATCGATCCAGAGCTTTGTTATCAACTCCAGAGGCCTTCAGGAAAGCCTGGCCAGCCTTGCCGGCTGCAGAAGAAATGGGCCAGCAAAGCAGGTGTCGGGGTGTGTGAGGCCTGGCTGCAACTGTCCAAAGGTAAGTAGTAGGGCAGATCCACACACACACACCCATTCCCACCCTAGCTTAATTTTTACCCATCCACTCTGGGGTGGGCAGGATCTTAATTAGGGCTTATTTTGGAGGGTAGGGCTTATATTGAGCACATGTGAAAAAAAATCAAGCTAGGACCTACTTTCAGGGTAGGTCATATTTTTGGAGAAACAGGGAACTAGGGGGTGACATGATAACTGTCTTTCCCAACTTGAGGGGTTACCACAAAGAAGAGGGGATTGATTTATTCTCCAATACACTGAAGAGCAGGACCAGAAGGATGAAAGAGAGCTCCAATCTAGAACTAAGAAGACATTTCCTGACGGTGAGAACAATTCATCAGCGGAACGGTGAAGAAGAGATAGGACAGCCATTTGTCTAGGGTGGGATAGGGTCACCTGCCTTGAGCAAGGGGTTGCACTAGATTTATAGCAACCCCTAATCTTTTGGGCACCAGGGACTAGATCCGTGGAGAGAGGTTATTTCCACAGAGGTTATTTCCATGGAGAGGTTATTTATTTCCATGGAGAGGGTGCAGCTTCGTGTGCTGTCTGCCATCTTGCAGACGGGGCTTTGCATGGCCGGTTTCTGGCATGCTATGGGCCAGGGCCAGTCCACAGCCCAGGAGTTGGGGACCCCTAACAGATTGACAGAGTTGGGAGGGACTTTGTAGGTCATCCAGTCCACCCCACCCCCCATCCCCAAGCAGGAGACCTTACACCATTTCTGACAGATGGCAGTCCAGTCTCTTCTTGAAAGTCTCAACTGATGGCGCTCCCACAACTTCCGAGGGCAACTTCTGTTCCATGGGTTGATGGTTCTCACTGTCAGAAAATTTCTCCTTATTTCCAGGTTGAATTTCTCCTTGTTCAGTTTCCATCCATTATTTCTTGTCTGGCCTTCAGGTGCTTTGGAAAATAGTTTCATCCCTTCCTCCTCTCTGTGGCAGCCCCTCAAATATTGGAAGACTCTATCATGTCTCCCCTGGTCCTTCTCTTCCCTAGACTAGCCAGGCCCAGTTCCTGCAACCATTCAACGTATACTTTAACCTCCAGTCCCCCAATCATCCTGGTTGTTCTTCTCTGTACTTCTCAACTTCTTTTTTTATATTGTGGTGACTAAAATTAGACGCAGTACTCTAGGTGTGGCCATACTAAGGTCTTATAGAGTGGTATTAGTACCTCACACGCTCTTGATTGGGAATCCCTGTATCAATGCAACTTAGAATTGCATTGGCTTTTTCGGCTGCCACCGCATACTGCTGACTTATATTTTTAATCGGTTTTCTCCAATTAATTCAGACTCCAAGATGCCTCTCCCAGTTACCGCTAGTACGCCTGGTTTCACCCAGACTATATGTGTCCTTTTGGTTTTACTTGCCTGAGTGTAATACTTCACTTTTCTCTGCACCGAATTTCATTTGTTAGATAGGGCCCAGGGTTCAAGACTGTCAAGATCCATCTGGATCTTGAGCCTATCGTCTATTCTAGGCAGTCCCCAAAGTGCTTTTTTTTTTTCAGGAGGCAACTGGACTGTCTGGTTTTTTCTTTGAAGACATTTCACTTCAGCTCTGAGAAGCTTCTTCAGCTCTGGCTGGATGGTGGGGAATGGAAGGTCGTATACTCCTTGCAGACAGCTGGTTATTTGCATCCTTTTAGAGGGCCGTTGAGGCCACTTGGAGGTTTATCGGTGTCTTCAGGGTCACCTGAGTAGCGCTCCTGGTTCCTTGCAGTTTGCAAATTTTCCTCTGGAAATCCGTTCTTACTCCCACGCCATTCGAAAGAGGTTCATCCCAAACTGCATAGCTAAAGGTCTATAGAAATTCTCAGTCATCCAGGTCAGTTGTCCCAAAGGTAGGGTAGGAGTAGGAATGGATTCTCAGTGGACAAAAACTGACCATCTGTCTGCAAGGAAGATACATCCTTCCCTGCCCCACCATCCTATCAAAGCTGAAGAAGCTTCTTGGATGAGAAGTGAAACATCTTCAAACAAAACAACAACAACAAGAAAATCCAGTTGCCTTGTGAAAAAAAGCACCTTTAGGACAAACCATGACCTGGAGGACTCTACACACTATCATCTAGGGAGGCGGCTATTCTAACCAGCTTAGTATCTTCTGCAAATTTGATAAGTTCCCTTTCTATTCCTTCCTCTAAGTCGTTTCTGAAGATATTGAAGAGTCCTGGGCTAGAACTCTGAAGTCCCTTCTAGCCCTATTATTCTATGGTCTATTCCTCCCCTGTCTTCCCCACCCCACTTTTTCTGCCTACGTGGGTCTTGGTCGTGTTTGGAATTATCTACTTTCCTTCATCTAACAAAACAATTTTCAGCCTTGGAAATAGACCCAGCGGTTTTTGCCGTTGCTCGATTCCACATCGTACCCACAAGTGACAAATCATTAGAGTGGTTTGACTTGCGCAACTTTCTTGTGAGAGATTAAAAACAACTTCGGTCCGTTCTGAAGGTGCACGCCATCCATCGTTTCCCGTACGTCTGTCCTCTGCCCTTTGAATTTTCCATTTCAAACGGAGACACGGACTCTGAGACACACAGACATGAGGTGGCTGACCCAGGGAGATACACACAAACACACACACACACAAACACACACACACACACAGCGCCACAAGCATACTTATTTAGAGGGGCTTCTGCTGGGTTTTTAGCTTCTGCAAAGATGCTTGGACAATTCGGTAGCTTTTCCTGAAAATGCTCCCTTTGGTCCTTGGAAAGCCCGTGAAGATACTGTGCTCTTTTGCATGGCGTTCAAGAAAATGAAAGGTAATTGTTTTTATATACAGGCCAAAGAACCAAGAGCAGTTCTAGAAGAAGGTGGAACATAGAATCATAGGACTGGAAGGGACATCAGAGTAGAGTAGAGTAGAGTAGAGTAGAACAGAACAGAACAGAACAGAATAGAATAGAATATATGGAATGGAATGAGTAGCGTAGAGTAGAATAGAATAGAATAGAATAGAATGGAATGGAATGGAATGGAATGGAATGGAATGGAGTGGAGTGGAGTGGAATGGAATGGAATGGAATGGAATGGAAGGGAAGGGAAGGGAAGGGAAGGGAAGGGAAGGGAAGGGAATGAGTAGCGTAGCGTAGCGTAGCGTAGAATAGAATAGAATGGAATGGAATGGAATGGAATGGAATGGAAT